GCTCACTAGAATCATTCAAAACATACATTCACTACTTGCCCAAACTTTGCCTTAGAAATGACTCTTGGGAAGCCAGATGCCAGTGGCTCATACCTATAATCCTAGCTACTCAAGAGGATGAGATCTGAAAATCTGGGTTTGAAGCCAGCTCAGTCAGAAAAGTCCATGAGACGCTGATCTCCAGTTAACCACCAAAAAGCCAGAACTAGAGTCATAATTCAAGTAGTAGGGCACCAGCCTTGAGAAAAAAGAGCAATGTAAGAGGGTGAGGCCCAGAATTCAAGCCCCCAGAATTGGCGTGTGCGCGCGCACACACACACACACAAGTCTCTTTGGGGTAACAACTTATAAAGCATTATTTGTGTGGAGCTAAGACCCATTTTACATACTGGAGGTGTGGGGTTGTCATTGGTTATTGCAAAGAATTGAGGAAACACTGAAAGACAATTAAATATTGGTAAAGTAGATGTGTGTGTTGTCTTGATATTCTAGGGCATCTTAAGAGGGCTCAGAGGAAGTTTGGTTGTAGAAAGGAGAAGGATACCCTTAGGACAGGAATGGGTGGTAGGCTGTGAGAGAGATTTTTGGAGAGCAGTAGTTGAGATTACTAGAATGTGTTTGAGGGGGAAAAAGACTTTTTTTTTGTCATCTGGGGCCTTCTAAACACACATTATAGTTTGTAAAGTTTCTGGGTAGCTATGCTAAAGACTTCCCCAGATAGGACTAAAGGAGTTGATGTTTCCATTTAGATGATGGCGGCTTATAATCCTAGCTACTCTGGAGGCTGAAATAGAGGATTATGGATCAAAGCCTCAAACACAGACAAATATGAGAGACTTATCTCCAATTAAACAGCAAAAAAGCCAGAAGTGGAAAGTGGAGATATGGCACAAGTGCTAGAGCTCCAGCCTTGAGTTAAAAAGCTAAGCAAAGAGCACAAAGCCCTGAGTTCAAGCCCCAGTACCAGCACAAAAAAAAAATCACATGCTGAGACCAGTGGTTCACACCTGCACTAGGATCTAAGGATAAGGGTTTTAAGCCCGCAGGAGCAGGAAAGTCCATGAGACTTTTGTTTTTGTTGGTTGTGGGTATTGAACTCAGGGCTTGGGCACAGTCTCTGTTTTGTTTTGTTTTGTTTTAATATCAAGGCTAGCATTCTACCACTTGGAGTCACTGCACCACTTCTGGTTCTCTGGTGGTTTATTGGAGATAAGAGTTTCATGGACTTTCCTGCCCTTGCTGGCTTTGAACTGTGATTCTCAGATCTCAGCCTTCTGAGTAGCTAGATTACAGGCGTGAGCTACTAGCTCCTGGCTGAAACTCTTATTTCTAAGGAAAATCCATGAGATTTCTTATCTCCAATTAACCATCCAATTCCAGAATTGGACATGTGGCTCAAGTGGTCGGGTTACAGCCTGAACATAAAAGCTCAGAGAAAATACCCAGGCCCTGAATTCAAGTCCCAGTACTAGCACACAAAAAAAGCCAGAAGTGCAAAGTCCCGAGTTTAAGCACCAATACTAACACAAGAAAAGAAAAGAATTGGCTTGGGCACTGGTGGTTCATGCCTGTAATCCTAGCTACACAAGAGGCTGAGATCTGAGGATCAAGGTTCAAAGTCTGTGAGAATCTTTCTGTAATTAACTAGCAAGTAGCCAGAAATGGAGTGGTGGCTCAAATGCTAAAATACCAGCTTTGAACAAAAAAGAAAAAGTCAAATAGAGAGCATGAAGCCCTGAGTTCAAGCTCTAGTACTGATGAAAAAAAGCACACAAATAATAGAAGTTTCCTAGTGTGAATAGTTGGCACATATCCTTCCTCATACTCTTCAGCGCTTTCTGGTATCCTCCCCCTGGGGGAGGGCCCAGCTAGGGCCACATCCCACAAAAGGTGAATGGCAACTAATAGTAACCCTGGACAGACACCATCTATGGATATACCTTTCTGGGGACACTTAGCTAAATGCCTTAGGCAGATCTGGAGCTGGCCAGACACTGGCTGGGTGGAGCTAAGACATGTCTGGAATGAGGGCAGAAAGCACGGTCTGCTATTGGCTAGCCTCTCTGATTGAAGTTCCCTCATCTGAAGAGAGCAGATATGTTTGGAACAATCAATTAATTCACCTTCAGCCTAGAAGGCATCACACCTCCAGAACACCTGGAGACAAGGATATAAGCCAACAGCCAAAGGAGTCTCAGCACCCCTGGCTCTGTTACTGATTGATTTTTGTGTCTCCTGACCTTCATGTCTGCTCAGGGAGATGAAAGTTCCCCTATTTTCATATCATTCATACATTTGTCTGGCATATAATTTGGCAACCATGAACACTTGGTGAGCAAATGTACGAGGATTACAGTGGTGCACACTTGTAATCCTAGCTAGTTAGGAGGCTGAGATCTGAGGATCAAGATTCAAAGCCATCCCCACCAGGAAAGTTCATGAGATTCTTTATATTCTTTTTTTGCTTTTGTTAGTCTTGGGGCTGGAACTCAAGGTCTGAGCTCTGCCTCTGAACTTTTTAGCTCAAGGCTAGCACTCTTATCACTTTGAGCTACTAGCCCCATTTCTAGTTTTCTGGTGGTTACTTAGAGATAAGAGTCTCAGCCTCCTGAGTAGCTAGGATTGATAGTATGAGCCACTGGTGCCTAGCTGAGACTCTTATTTCTGATTAACTACCAAAAAGCCAGAAGTGGAGTTGTGGCTCAAAGTGGTAGAGTGCTAGCCTTGAGCACTAAAGCTCAAGGACAGTGCCCAGGTCCTGAGTTCAAGCCCCAGGATCAGCACAGAAAAAACATAGGAGAGAGAAAGCAAAGAGGAAGGAGAATATCTCTTTAATGTGTCCACTGAATGCCTACTATGTGTTGGACTCAGTGCTGTCAGGTATGCCTGTCCTCAGTGATGAATTCTTAGCACAGATGCCACCAGATCACAAGGGAAGGGAGCTGGGAAGATCCTTGTGTTGAGACCTGAAGGATAAAGTAGGAGTCCAGAGGTAAGGAGAAAGTAGAAAAGCTGTTCAGACCTTGGGAATGACATGTGCCAAAGTCCCAGGGCGGAAGAGAGCACTTTCGAGGAACAGACAAGAGGCCATTGTGGCCTGGGGGTGGGGGCAGGGAAGTATTTCTCTGCTTAGGCCAGCTCTGTCCCTGTGCTCAGGAGTTTGGAGTTCATCCCGAAGGCAAGGGTTGCCCATGGCAAGGCTGAAGGAATTGAAAGGGAATGGAAGAAGGCCCTGAGGATGGGAGAAAACCAGTAAGGAGGTTGGGAGCCTGCAACTGTGTAGATTGCAGAGTCCTCAGGACTTGGGGACTCTCTGTGAATAAAGAGATGATAGAAGACTGGTAGAGAACACAACACCCATCTAGGACATTGGTTGATTGGAGGTATTGTCTCTGGGATGGGGGAAGTGAGGAGATTGGGATAGGGGTATGTTTTCTTTAGGATGCAGGGAGTCTGAGGAGGTTCCAGGAGGATGGGCTGGAAAGGTGGCTTAGTGGTAGAGTGCTTGCCTAGCGTGTTTGAGGACCTGGGTTTGATTCCTCAGTACCACAGAAACAGAAAAAGCCGGAAGTGGTACTGTGGTTCACAGTGGTAGAGTGCTAGCCCTGAGCAAAAAGAAGTTCAGGGGCAGTGTCCAGGCCCTGAGTTTAAGCCCCAGGACTGGCAAAAAAAGGAGGTGACAGCACCTCACACAGGCCTCAGCTGTGTCTAATCAGGAGGCCCAGAGTAAGGACAAGAAACTAGGGAGCATAGGTGTGTGTGGCTTAGAGCTCAGGTGTCTTTGTCTGTCCCAGCTACCCCATGGCCTGTGCAGGGAAGGAGTTAAATCACCAAAGGAAGGGGCCTGTGGACAGTGGGGAAAGGCGGGACTGGCAGGGTTGGCCCATGGGAGCTGCAGCTGGCAGCTCTTCCGCCTGGCCTGCTAGGCCCTTGCCTTGTTGAGCCTCACTACTGCCGCTGCCTGCTGCTGCTGCCGCCGCCGCCGCCGCCGCCGCCGCCGCTGCTGCTGCTGCCGCTGCCACCACCACCACCACCCACACTGGGCCTTTTGCCTTCACCTTCCCTGCTTTCCTTCCAGCCTCTTCCCAGCTCCCCTGGTCCTGGCCTCCTTACCTAATGCATTCCAGGTGTAGATGAGGCCCCTCTCCCACCCTCCCTGGGGCAGCTGGGGAGGGGGCAGCAGGAAAAAGCATGGCTCTGTCTCACTGTGCATCATTTAGGGTGAGTCTCTCAGTTTCCTTGACCTCTCCTCTTTAGGGGGCAGAATACCTTCAGAGAAGGTCCCTGTTTGGACCTTGTCTCTGGCGATGGGGAAAGCCCCTCCCCCCAGCTCTGCCAACTTCCGAAATTTCAGGTGACTTTAAGCAAGTCACCTCAGTTCCTCACCTGTAAAGTGGGGTTGTTAATTCCTCTGCCTAGGGCAATAAGGATTGAACTGCTATCAGCCAAGTTCACAGCCTCAGGCAGGACATATTGTAGTCACGTCCAGTTCTTGGCCCAGGCCTGACCTCTTGTTCCTGTCCCATTGCCTTTCTGTGCCTGCCTCCTCCAGTTATTCTCAGGGCCCTACTCAGACTTTTTTTTATCTGTCTCCTTTCTGACTTGTCCCCTTCCTTCTTCTGTCTTCCTCTACGGATATCGCGGGGCCTCTAGTTTTCCTGTCTCCTTGTCCAGGCCTCTCGTGGATGAGAGAGGAGATCAGTGGGCTTGGAGGTCCCTGAGGTAGAGGCAGGGACCATCCCCCTAGTAGCTTTGTCCTCCCAGGGAGGGGAATCCCAGCCAGCGTGGCAGCCCCAGAACTGGCTAATTACTGCCCCCAGTGCTCCCTGCTGCAGCTCCACTCCCTTCCCTTCCTGTCCTCTGAAGTCCCCAGCTCCTCCCAGGGGTGGAGCTACACCCTCCCCCCTCCATGTCCTTCTCTGGCCTCTGGTCCAGAGAAGCAAGGAGGAGGTGGCCAGCCTTCACAGCAATCAAGCGACTGGGACTAGAAGAAGGACGGACAGCAGGACGGACAGCTTCTCATCTGGTGTAGTTGTGTGCTGTTATGTTTGTGGGGGGGGGGTTGTCCCCACAGGTCTGTTTTGTGTATCTTAATATTTTTATTTCTGTATGCCTAGGTGTAAGTTTGAATATTTCTGTATAACCACATGTGTCTTGGGGTCTATGTGTTGTGCATTCCAGATTATATGTTATTTTATTTCTAAGTCTATAGATACTTCTCCTTATGGTTCTCTGTAGATCTTATGTGTTGGTTAGTCTGTCTCGGTATCTGTCTAGTCTATATTCATGTTTGTCTCTATTTTTGTGTGTGTGCTAGTACTGGGGCTTGAGCTCTGGCCCTCAGTCTTACTTCAAATTTTAAATTATTATTTAAGTAGTTGTACAGAGGGTTTCAACTCATCAGTTTAGCGTACATGCATTTTTTATGAATATCACCCCTTTTATCGTTCTTTTGCTTTGTTCTTTTACTCATAGCTGGTAGTCTACCACTTGAGCCACTCTTCCAGTTTAGGCCTTTTGCTGGTTATTGGAGATAAGTCTCTAGGATTTGTCTGTCCAGGCTGGCTTGAACAATGGTCCTCAGATTGTCTCTGCCTCTTGATTGTCATGAAGAGTGCCACCTACTTACTTATTTTGGCTTTTCCTGCCCCTTCTTTCTGCCCTAAAAACCATCTGATAAATCAAGCTCTCTGTCCCTGAAACACGTTTCACCCACACCCCCTATACTTTTCTTCCCAGGACCTTTCTCTCTCTCTCTCTCTCTATATATATATGTATGTATGTATGTATGTATATGTATATGTATACATATATATATGAAATTTTTACATTCTTTCATGGACTGCTCAGGTAAAGGACATCTTTTAATTTTTCTTTTTTTCTTTTGTCGGTTGTGGGGTTTGAACTCAAGGCCTACACAGTGTTCCTGAACTTTTTCAGTCAAGGCTTTTCAGCTCAAAGTGAGCACTCTACCATTTTGAGCCACAGCACCAGTTCTGGTTTTCTGGTGGTTAATTGGAAAAGTTAAGAGTCTCACAGACTTTCCTTCCTGGGCTGGCTTCAAACCGTGATCCTCAGGTCTTAGCCTCCTGAGTAGCCAGGATTACAGGCCTGAGCCACCAGCACCTGGCAAAAGCCATCTTCTTTAAAAGTCTTTTCCATTCCCCCTACACATGTGACTTTTTTTCAGTAGTTTCTGAAAATAGGTTTTGTGATACTAGACACAGACATACTTGGAATCTAGCCCTAACACAATTACCTCAAGCTAGTTATTTTGCTGCTTTGTACCTTGGTTTCTTTCTTTCTTTTCTTTTCTTTTTTTTTTAATTGGTCGTGGGGCTTGAATTCTGGGCCTGAGCGCTGTCCCTCAGCTCTTCAGCTCAAGGTTAGTGTCCTACCACTTAAGCCACAGTGCCATTTCTGGCTTTTTTCTGCTTATGTGGTACTGAGGAATTGAACCTAGGGCCGCATGCATTCAAGGCAAGCACTCTACCACTGAGCCACCTTCCCAGCTGTACCTTCGTTTCTTTATCTGTAAAATGGAACAGAGTTGTTAGGAAGATGAACATAATGCTTAGCCTAAGTAGATATTCAACTAGCAATTGAATTTTTCTACCTCCTGTCCTCTACTGAAAAAAAATACAGCTTGAGTTCCAAAGAAGTCAGTGTGTGTATGTGTGTGTGTGTGTTTGTATGTGTGCTGGAACTTATGACCTCTCTCACTTGCTTGGCTTTTTTTGCTAGTGAAGACTAGTGTTCTACCATTTGAGCCACACCTCCACTTCTGGCTTTCTGCTGGTTAGTTGGAGATAATTTCATGGATTTTCTGCTTAGGCTGGCTTTGAACTTTGGTCCTCAGATCTCAACTCCTGAATAGCTAGGATTACAGGCATGAGCCACCATTGCCAAGCTCCTAAGAATTCTGACTGTTCTTTGATCCCATGCTGTCTTCTGTAGGTATTCTTTTTTTTAATTTTAATTTTAATTTTTTGTGAACATACTGTACAGAGGGGTTACAATTACATGGGCAAGATAATGCGTACATTTCTTATCAAGCATTGCAGCCTCCTCCTTGTAGGTATTCTACACAGACAGAAGCTGATCTCTCTGAGCAGGACAGAGCAAAAAGAAAATTCCATTTCAGGACACTAATAAGTACTGCGTGAACCAGCTTCCTGGCCCTGCTCAGGCCTAAGGCGTGGGACAAGGGGCCTCCATAGCTGGTCTCCAAGGACCAGAGAATTTCACATAAGGAAAAATATAAACAGTAGAGATAGAAGGATCTTTATGGACTGTAACTCAGATATTGGGATGTGATGGCTGCAAGTTGTATTTGTTTGAGAAGTTACATTTGACCTGGTTGTAGTGAGCTCAAGCTTGTGATCCTAGTGCTTAGAGTAGGGAAATCTCAGAAAAATTTGAGAGACCCCATCTTAAGTCTGGTTGGGTGTGATGGTGTGCACCTGTTATCCCAGCTATGCAGGGAAGCACAAATAGGATTTCAACTCAGGTTGGCCCAGCCGTAAAGGGAGATCCTATCTTTAAAAATCAACACAAAAGACTTGCAAAAGTGGTGCCAATGGAAGAATCTTGTCTGCCTTGAGTTCAAACTCCAATACCACCAGAAACAACTTTTAAAGAAATAATTAGGGCTGGGCACTGGTGGCTCACACCTATAATCCTAGCTATTCAGGATACTAAGATCTGAGGATTGAGGTTCAAAGCCAGCCTAGACAAGAAAGTCTAGGGCTGGGAAGGTGGCTCAGTGGTAGAGCGCTTGCCTTGCATGCATGAGGCCCTGGGTTTGATTCCTCAGCACCACATAAGCAAAAAGAAAAAAGCCGGAAGTGGCTCTGTGGCTCAAGTGGTAGAGCCCTAGCCTTGAGCTGAAGAGCTGAGGGACATCGGCCAGGCCCAGAGTTCAGGTCCCACAACGGGACCAAAAAAAAAAAAAAAAAACAAGACAAGAAAGTCTATAAGATGCATCTTCAGTTAATCAGCAAAAAGCTAGAAGGAAGCTTTGTCTCTAGTGGTAGAGCTAAGGGTCAATGCCCTGGCCACCCTTATACAAGCACCAAAGAGGAAGTGGGGGGGGGAAGAGAGTGGGAGAGTGGGAGAGAGAGATTACATATAAAAAGCCATATTTCTGGATTTTCTTGAAGTACTAGGAGATCTAACAATACAGGGCCCTATTCCTGCAAAGTACTAACTATATGAGGGGAGGAGCTACTGTTCTTACATTAGTGAGGCATGTGCTCTGCAGTTTCTCCCAGTCCCCAGCATTCCTTTTAAGTGTGTGGTTTATCTTGTGTTTTTCGAAAAACAGTATAAATCTAGACAAGTTTTTAATATTAGCGCAGTCAAACATAACACATTTTAGGCGTTTTATTTATTCAGAAACAGGCCAAATTCTGAAGTCAATTAATTACATGATATAATTCTAATTTATTTGTGCCAGTCCTGGGATTTGAACTTAGGGCTTCAGCACTGTCCTTGAACCTTTTTGCTCAAGGCTAGTACTCTACCACTTGATCCACAGTTCCACTTCCAGCTTTTTTGGTGGTTAATTGGAGATGAGAGTCTCATAGATTTTTCTGCCCAGGCTGGCCCATGAACCTCAGTTCTCAGTCTCCTATGTACCTAGGACTACATGTGTGAGCCACTAGCTCCCAGCAATTCTAATTAGTGTGTGTGTGTGTGTGTGTGTGTGTGTGTGTGTGTGTGTGTGTGTGTGTCGGTCCTGGGCACTGTCCCTGAGCAATTCAGCTCAAGGCAAGTGCTGCTCTACCACTTGAGCTACAGTGCCACTTCCAGTTTTCTGGTGGCTAATTGAAGAGTCCCACGGACTTTCCTGCCTGGACTGGCTTTAAACAGCAATCCTTAAATCTCAGCCTCCTGAGTAGCTACAATTATAGATTTGAGCCACTGGCACCATCAATGAAGAGTATATATTTTTTATTCTAATTTTTAAAATTGCCTTTAAGTAGTTGTGCCAAGGGTTTCAATTCACTCACCATTGTAATACGGTGTAAATGTTACTGTTTGGAATCTTACTTTATGAAACAGTGGTTACTCTATTTTATTTGTACTGCCTTCCATTTTGTCCAATTCCTTCATTTACATTTTGGGGAAGGGCTTCTATGGAACTGTCCTTACTTTATATGGCTGGGATATCTTTTGGTGCTGGTATTGGGACTTTGTGCTATCTCTATTGGCTTTCCTCTCACCCTCACCCCCAAAGCTGGAGCTTTACCATTGAGTCACAGCTTCACTTCTGGCTTTTTCTTTTGTCTGCCTGAGGTAACTTCGAACCACTGTCCTCAGATATCAGCCTACAGAACAACTAGGATTAAAGGCATGAGCCACCAGTGCCCAGCCAAATAATGCCTTAAAAAATCAGGGGTTTGGGGCTGGGAAGATTGCTCAGTGGTAAAGGGCTTGCTTTGCATGCATGAGGTCTTGGGTTCAATTCCTCAGCTCCAAATAAGCAGAAAAAGTGGTGCTGTGGCTCAAGTGGTAGAGCCCTAGTCTTGAGCACAAAGAGGCTCATGGACAGCACCCAGGCCCAGAGTTCAGGCCCCACAACCGACAAAAAACAAATCAGGGGGCTGGGAATGTGGCTTAGTGGTAGAGTCCTTGCCTAGCATGCATAAAGCCCTGGGTTTGATTTCTCAGTACCACATACACAGAAAAAGCCAGAAGTGGTACTGTAGCTCAAGTGGTAGAGTGCTAGCCTTGAACAAAAGAAGTCCAGGGACAGTGCCCAGGCCCTGAGTTCAAGCCCCAGGACTGGCAAGAAAAATAAAATAAAATAATAAATAAAAGGGGCTGGGAAGGTGGCTCAGTGGTAGAGCACTTGCCTTGCATGCTCCAGGCCCTGGGTTCAATTCCTCAGCACCACATAAGAAAAAAGCCAGAAGTGGTGCTGTGGCTCAAGTGGTAGAGTGCTAACCTTGAGCTGAAGAACTGAGGGACAGCGCGCCAGGCCCAGAGTTCAGGCCCCATGACCAGACCCAAAATAAATAAAT